TATACTACTATACAGCCTTCTGATTTCTCACTTTACCACTAATCTTCCACTCTTGAGTCTGTCCTAATGGCAACACCACACTAATCTTTCTAAAGACTTGATTTAAAGTATCACCTTCTGCCTAGAACTTTACAGTCATCCATTACTAAAATTTAGAATGGAATTGACAATCCCCCATGATCTTTCCACCCTGACCATTTCCATAAGTTATCTACAGGAACCCTATGATAGGACTAATCATGTCCATTTCTCTAGGAGTCATGAAGGTTAAAGGTGAATGAGCTGAGAGTCAGTTGTTAGGGGTGGTTGTAGAAAAGTGTTTGTAAAGAAGATTTTATACGTCTGTAATGGGATATTGTACTGGATAGCTACCCCCCTGTATGTGGCTCTACTTTAGAGGAATAAATATTTTTTGCAGCTTATGTATAAAGAAATAAATAAATAAAAGGAACAAAAGACTGCAAAATAAGCAGCCAATAAACCATGAAAGTAAAGGCAGATGGACAAAAATTCCACAAACTGGCACCTGGGAGCATTGCCAAAACTATCTTAGATTCTTTAATACGATATAAAAGGAGAAGCAGGAGAATGAAAGCACATAATTATTATTGTAATTATTATCACCATACCCCATAATAGTTCAGTAAGGATAGTTTATTACATGGTTTAAAAACTGGTCCAAAACATCTCACAAAGTTAATCACTTCACGCCTGGATTAATTGCTATTGCCTCTTGTTAGGATATTTTCCCCCTCCAATCTCCTTTTATTTTCTAACTTTCACCCAACCCTTTGTACCCTCTACATTCTTCAAGCATCTCTTGTCTCTTTCCACTTTCTGAATCACTCTCATCTCTGTGCCAGTACTAATGACCTTACATAACATCATCTTTGCTTCCTGTGTCTCTCAGATTAATCTTGCACTTTGGTTATGGAACATGATTTCTTTCCCCATGCTCAGTCTTACATCAGGGATATTGCTCATAATATTTTCACCAGAGTAAATTGACTTTGGATTCTTCACCATGGATTTCTATACTTGGTCCTTTCAAGAGTAGCTAATATTCTTTATGCTTTGGCATGTCTAACACTTGCTTGCTTATCTTCTCTGTCACATTTATTGATAATATACTATTATCTATGAAATGTGTTTTCTAACATGTTAAAATTTTTCTCAAGTGAAATATAAACCTTTGTTTTTAGGTATCTGTCTTTGCAATTCTCCTATAGCTCATAATTTTCAGCACAGCAATAGACTCATAGTAAGCAGCCATAAATGCCTTGTCGGAACAAGATAGTGAAATAGTACTATCCAGCAATCATCCACCCACAGAAACATTAAGTAGAACAGCTATATATGCCAAGAAATACCTTCACAAGGGCTAAAATCTTCTTGGCAGTTGAGAGATTATAGTATAGTGCTTGGTTCTAGCATAATAATAAGGAAAGGCATATTGGAAGGGAGGAAGTATAGTTTTACATTGTCTGCATCACCCCTCTCTTAACTCGACAAAACAGAGCATGGAGAATGATACCATTCCACTTGGGGGAACGTGGGTAGAGTGAGCATAGGACCTTTCTCAACACCAACACTGGTACCTCCACAGTAAAACCTAGCACCAGGCAGAACCCCCGAGTCCCACGTTCCAGGCATGTACCCTCAGACTGAGCCCAGATACCCACATTAGTGCCAGGTGGGACCACATAGCCCAGACTTTAGGTCTGTGTGATGAACTTGATCTCTGGTCCACATAACCACGGAACCAATATCAACAACCATACTCTGTTCCAATTGCAGGAGCAAGCAAGCCTCTGTGGCTGTGGGCTTCTGATAGATCCTATAACCTCATTTACCATCGCAGGTCCCAGGCCTTTGGCAGTGCCATAACAGCTATAATTTCTCTGGGCTTCTAACAATGCTGCACTGTCCACAATTGTCTGAGAATTTAGGTGTGCACTAATATGATATAAGCTATAGCAATTTTCCAGATAAAGGTAATTTATAAAGACTGGCATAAGTGCCTACAGTTTTCATATACAGACTCTGATACAAAAGCACAAGAATCAAGAACAAGTAGGAAAAGGTTGCATCACCAAATTAAGGTACATGACAGATAATAAAGAGATGGAAATGCACAATATGCCTGAAAAAGCACCTAAAATAACATTTCAAAAAGTTTTGATAATGTCAAGAAAATAAAAGAAATCAAATCATAAAAATAAGAAAAAGAGAACATGACCAAAACAACCAATTTTAAAACATTTTGAAATAAATAAATAAAATCAATAGAAATGCTAGAGGTAGAAAATATAATGGCAGAAACAAACAATACACTAGAGAGCATCAACAACAGACCTGTGAAGCTGCTGTGGGGTTTTTCAAAAATATTTAATCAGAAGAGACAAAAAGAAAAAAAGAATGAAAAACACAAAGAAAGTTTAAAGAATTTATGAGACAAGAGAGAAATTCTTCTAAAACATAGGCTTTAAAGAAGGAGAATTGAAAAGTTAAGGGGTAAAAGTGTATTTAATACATTGTACTAGTAGCAGAAAATCTTTCAAACTTAGAGAAAGATATAAGTATTCAGGTACAGTAATATTGAAGATCTCTAATTATATTCAATTCAAATAAAACAATTTATTATGGCATATTATAAACAAACTATAAAGATCAAAACAACACACACCCAAAAAAGATCCTAAACACAGCAAGGGAAAAGCAGTAAATGACACGTGAGGGAGTTCCAATCTACCCAGCAACAGATCTTAGCAGAAACCTTACAGACCAGAAGAAAGTGGGATCATACATTCAAAATGGTAAAGGAAAAAACTGCCAACCAGAATATTAAGTCAAACAAATTTCCCCTCAAGAGATGAATGAGGAAAAAAGAATCTCCCAGGCAAACACAAGCTGATCACCATCAGATTTATCTTATAAGAAATGCTACTGGGAGATGCTAATGAGTACCATGAAAACATCTGAAAGAATAAAGCTCATTGATCAAAGTAAATTCAGAAACTCTAATACTATAAGGGTTGTGTGTAAGTCACTTATATCTCTAGTGTGAAGATTAAAAGTGAAAGTATTCATGATAATAACTAATAATTTCTAAGATATAGACAATATAAAAATGTACATTGTAATGTTAAAATGATGGGTGGATAAAAGTGTAGAATTTTTCTGTATGTTTTATCAAAGTTAAGTTGCCATTCACTTAAAATAAGCTGTTATAACTACAAGAACTTTTTTGAAGCCTCATGGTAATGACAAGGCAACAGTTAATAGTAGGTTTTCAAAAATAAAAAGCAAGAAATCAAAATATATATCCAAAGAAATTGACTAAACCACACAGAAAGAAAGGGAGAAAGAAATAAAAAGATCTGTAAAATAACTAAGAAATAACTAATAAAATGGCATAATAAGTCCATAACTATTGCCAATTACCTTGAATGCAAGTCAATTAAACTTTTTCATCAAAGACATAGAGTCAGACAAAACCCAAAACCCAATATTATGATGACTACAGGAGACTTATATGGATAAGAACTTATATGGACTAAAAGTGAAGGGATGTAAAAAGATTTTCCATTCAAATAGAAATAAAAATTAACCGGGAGGAGCCATATTTATTTCAGATAAATGACCTCTAAGTCAAAAATTATAATGGTCATTACATAATGTTAAAGATGTTAATTAGCAAAAGCTTATAACAATTGCAAATATTTATGCATCCCACATTGGAGCACCTAAATACATGTATATAAAGAAAATATTAATAGATCTAATAGAGGAGATAGTCTACAATACAATGATAGTGGGGGATTTACCACCCCATTTACAGCAATGAACAGAACCTCCCAACAGAAATTCAAAAAGGAAACATTAAACTTAAAGTATGTTAGATCAAATGTACCTAACCAACATATACAGAATATTCCATACATCAGCTGAAGAATACACATGTTTTCCAATACATGCCATTCTCCAGGATAGATCCTATTAGGCCACAAATCTTAGCAAATTTAAGAAGATTGAAATTATTTCAAATATCTTTTATAACCAAAATAGTATAAAAATGGAGCTCAATAATAGGAGAAACTTCAGCAAATTTACAAATACATGAAAATTAAACAACATACTCCTTAACAATCAATGACTCAAAGAAAAAATTAAAAGAGAAGCTAAAAGTTTTCTTGAGACAAATGAAAATGGGAACACAAAATATCCAACCTATGGGATACAGCAAAAGCACTTCTAAGAGGGCAATCTTAGAGCAATAACAGTGTATCATCATAAAGGAAGAAGGGGCTGGGCATGGTGGCTCATGCTTGTAATCCTAGCACCCTGGGAGGCCGAAGTAGGTGGATTGCCCTGAGCTCAGAGGTTCAAGACCAGCATGAGTCAGAGTGAGACCCCATCTCTACCAAAAAATAGCTAGGTGTTCTGGCAGGTGCCTATAGTCCCAGCTACTTGGGAGGCTGAGACTAGAGAATCACTTAAACCCAAGGGTTGTTGGAGGTTGCTGTGAGCAATGAATGCATAGTACTCTACTGAGGGCCACAACATGACCTCTGTCTCCATAAAAAAGAAAGAAAGCAAAATAAAATTTAAAAAAAAATTTCAAACTAAGATTGAAAGCCAATTGAAAGCAAAATTAAAAAAAATAAAGGAAGAGGGATATCAAAAAGCATAATATTGCAGTTCAAGAATCTATAAAAACAAGAAATAACTACGCACAATGTTAATAGAAGAGAGGAAATAATAAAGATGAGAGTAGTAGTCAATGAAATGGAAATTAGACAAACAATAGAAAAGATCAATAGGGCAGCACCTGTGGCTCAAGGAGTAGGGCGCCAGCCCCCATATACTGGGGTTGGTATGTTCAAGCTTGAGCCCAGCCAAAACTGAAGGAAGGAAGGAAGGAAGGAAGGAAGGAAGGAAGGAAGGAAGGAAGGAAAATTTAATAAATATAACAGTTGGTTTCTTGAAAAGATAAAACAATACTCTCTTCAGCAGCACATATACTAAAATTGGAATGATGCTTAGGTTAGCATGGCCCCTGGCAAGGATGACACACAAATTAGTGAACCATCCCATACTTAGGAAAAAAAAGATAAAACAAAATCAACAAAGCTTAAGCTAGACCACAATAAAAGCATAAATGAAAAAAGGAAACATTATAACTGATACAGAAAAAATATATAAATGACCATACATTATTATTATTCATCATACACCAATAAATAAGAAAACCTAGAAGAAATGGATAAAGCCCTTGATGCATACAACCTACAAAAAGTAAATTATAAAATAGAGATAAAATTAATAGACCAATAATAAGTAAAAATATTGAATCAGTAATAAAAATCTGCCATGAAAAAAAAAAAAAACCAAAACTTACAGCTTCACTGCTGAACTCTATCAAACATTAAAAAATACTAAATTATTTTTTTCAAATCCTTCCAAATATTGAAGAGGAAGGAATAATTCCCACATTCAATTTATAAAGACAGCATCGTGCTGATATCAAAACCAGATAAAGATACTACAAAAAATTAAAATTATCTCTGATGAACATAAATGTAAAAATCCTCAACAAAATACTAACAAATTGAATGTAAAAGCACATTAAAAATATCATTCACTATGGCCAAATGGGATTCATTTAAGAAATGCAAGAGGGCAGCGCCTGTGGCTCAAAAAGGTAGGGTGCCGGCCCCATATGCAAGAAATGGTACACCATACATCAGTCTGGGCAGGTGTGGTGACTCACGCCTATAATTTCAGGCCTCAGGAGTCCAAGGTAGGAGGATTACTTGAACTCAGATGTTCAAGACCGGCTTGAGTAAGAGCCAGACCCTGTCTCTACTAAAACCAGTGGTGTATGCCTGTTGTCTAAGCTTTCAAGAGCCTGAGGCAGGAGGATCACTTGAGCCCAGGAGTTTGTGGTTGCAGGGAGCTATAATGACATCACTGAATTCTACCCGGAGTGAAAGAGTGAGACTTGGTCTCAACAAAACAAATAATAAAAAAAAAACTAAAATACCATACATAAATCAATAAATATGTTATATCACTTTAACAGAATGACAGACAAAAAACATATAATCATTTCAATAGATGAAGAAAAGGGATTTGAGAAAATTCGACATCCTTTTATGGTAAAAACTCTCTAATTAATCCAAAATGAAAAAAAGACCATAAAAAACTCTTAATACATTAGTTATAGAAAGAAGGTAACTTAAAACAGTAAGACTGTATATGACGTGTTTTTAGGTAACATTATATTGAACAGTGAAAAATTTAAAGGCTTTCTTCTGAAATCTGGAATGAGACAAGGACACTCACTCTGACTGCAAAGCTATGGTAATTAAAATAGCATGATATTAACATAAATTAACATATAAAACCTAGTAACAGTGTAGAGAGCTCAGAACTGAATCCACAATTGCAGTCCATTGATTTTGACAAAGTTGCCAAGAATACACAAGGGAGACAGGATAAGGACACTTCCTTCACTAAATGATTTTACAAAAACTGGATATCTACATACAGAAGAATTTAATTGGATTTTTTTCATAGGATATACAAAAATCAACTCAAAATGGATTAAAGATTTATAAAACCCAAAACTATGAAACTACTAGAGGAAAACATAGGGGAAAACCTCCGAGATGTTGTTTTGGGCAATGACTTATTGGATATGACCCCCCAAAACACACATACCAAAAGCTAAAAACTGACAAATGGGATTACATTCAACTAAAAAGTCCTTGCAGAGCTAAGGGAACAATCAGCTGAGTGAAGAGACAAAGAACATGGTGGGAGAAAATATTTGCAAATTGTACATCTAATGCATGTGTGTTTACTATCCACAATATATAAGGGACTCAAACAACTCAGTAGTTAAAAAATAGAAGTCCAAATAACTTGGAAAATGAGCAAGTGACTTGAATAGACATTCTCAAGAGAAGATACACAAATGGCCAAGAGGTGTATAAAAATCCTCAAAATCACTAATCAGTGGAGAAACAAAAATTGAAACAATGAGGTCTGATCTTATAGCTGTAGAATTGCTATTATAAAAAGAGAAAAGATAGCAAGGGTCGGCAAACTAATCCCATGAGGATATCGAGGGTTGGCTGCCTGAGGATACTGGCAACAGCGTCATGGCTGTTCAGACACTTCTGGTGAGAGTGTAAATTGGGATAGCCATTGTGGAAGATGGTATGGGGTTCCTCAAAAAATTAAAAATGGAACCACCATATACTACAAGAAATGAAATTAGTATGTTGAATTCTCTTGTTCAATGCAGCACTTAAATCTGTGTCCACCAACAGATGAATGAAGACAGCATAGTATAAATATATACAAAAGAATACTAATCAGCCGTAAAATAATGAAATCCTGTCATTTGCAACAAAATAGATGAATCTGTAGGATACTGGGTTAAGCGAAATATGCACAGAAAGACAAAAAAACACATGAGCTAAAACATGTCAGTTTTAGCTTTTGTCTTTCAGGCACAGAAAGACAAAAAAACACATGAGCTTAGTCATATATGGAATCTAAGAAAGTGGAGCTCACAGAAGTAGAGTGGAATGTTAATTCCCAGAGGCTGGGAGGATTGGGGAAATGTGGAGATGTTGGTCAAAGGACACAGAATTTTACTTAAACAGGATGAATAAATGCAAGAACTCTATACACGGTGACTATAGTTAATAATATACTGTATTCTTGGACAACAATAAGTGAGAGCACATAAAGTACTCTCATCACAGAAATGATAATTCTATGAGGTAACGCATGTGTTAATTAGCTAGCATGAGTCATTCCACAATGGATATATACTTCAAAACATGTCGAACACAGACAATACGTACAATTTTATCTTCAAACAAAATAAATAATCAATGCTTTGTAATTGATTTCTAAAGTAATTTGAAAGATAAAATTCTTACCTCATTTTTTGGATTCTTTACAGTTTCATGTGTCCTATCATATTTAGGATTAATTTATCATCGTGCATTATTTAATTGTTTTAGTACTGGAATGTAAACTTACGGCTAAAAGCTCCCTCTGCTGGATCTCTTTAACATACCTGAAGAAAACTCGACAGAAACAGGTACGTACATATATCCAATTTATATTTTATAAGACACTATTACTAAATTATAAAATATCAGAAAATACAATCATGCGGTTAACTTTTATGTTCTGTGATTTCACTTCTATGATCCAATTTCTGAGGAATTTATGCTCTATAGCTCTTTTACTTCTTTATATGAAACACTGGATTCCTTTTGTTCATAACTTCTGGAACGCTTTTTCCTGTCCCCCCCTGCCATGCCGGTATTTCTGGGAGGGAGTCATGACCAAGCCAGGATTCTGCAGGCAGGCTGCCTCCTCTGTACTCGGTCTCTAGCCTTTGGGAGCACCAATGACGTTAAGCCACACTTGCTTGGATTAGTTTCCTCAAGGAAGAATGGGGGATAACATAGCTCTTCCCTCATAGGGTTGTAGGTTTTCAATGGTTCACGTAAAAATTTAGCACAGGTAAATAATAAATCCTCGAATCCTTATCGGTCAGGTCTCAGTTCTCCTCAAAAGCAGAGAATGAGCACACTGAATTTTCCCATAGTATTTTTGACTGAGTATCTGTGGTTTGAGAATTTTTTAAGTTCTCTAAACCAGTGGTTCTCCTTTTTATATTCTCTAAATCTCCCTAATGCAGCGGCCCTTTAATACAGTGCCTGTGGGTCTCCAGCCCCCAGGGTGAGAACTGCTGCAAACTGACAAGATTCTGCTGCCAATGACCTAGTACAATCATCCCGCAGTATCCTCAGCGGATTGGATCCTGGACCCTTCCCCCATACCTACATCCAGGGATGCTCAACCCTGAAGCACAATAGCGGAGTGTTTCCGCCTCAGAATGCTTCCAATCACCTCTAGATTGCTTCTAGTACCTAAAGTAAAGACTATGCAAATAGCTGCTACACGGTACTTTATTGGTGTTGTTTTATTGTTGCATTGCATTTTTATCTTCATTTTTTGTTGCCCATTATGATCATACATATTTATGCAGAGTGATATTTAGATTCATCTATTCAATACTAAGGATCAAATCAGGGTCATCAGCACATTTTTCACTTCAAATATTAATTCTTTCTTTTTTATTTTAATTTTTTTTTTTTTCTTTTTTTTGTAGAGACAGAGTCTCACTATGCCACCCGTGGTAGAATGCTGTGGCCACAAAGCTCACAGCAACCTCCAACTCCTGGGCTTAGGCAATTCTCTTGCCTCAGCCTCCCGAGTAGCTGGGACTACAGGCTCCCACCACAACGCCCAGCTATTTTTTTGTTGTAGTTTGGCTGGGCTGGGTTTGAACCTGCCACCCTCAGTATGGGGCAGGTGCTCTAGCCACTGAGCCACAGGCGCCGCCACCCTATTTTAACAGTTTTAAATAGAAGTCCCCAAATGACAGGTTTGCAAAATGCTCAGTTGCTCAGCAGTTGCTACCTACGGGACAAGAAAAGAATTCTTCTAGGCCAAGAGTAGAACATAAAAATGTAAGTTTTCATGTTAGAGAAAGGAAAGATAGTGGGGGAGAGAGATGAGAAAGAGAGAGCAGAGACCAGGGAGTGAGAGAAGGGAAGGTAGGAGGAGAGCCGAGGAGAAAGAGAATGGCATGGCGTCTCCAAGAAAGAAAGGAAGGGTGCCCCAAACACTAATTATTTCTTGGTGATGGAACTTCAAAGTCCCCTCCTCTAGCCATTTGAAAATAAACAATAAATTATTTTTAACTATAGTCCCCCTACGATGCTGCAGACTACTAAGTCAGATGTATTCCTGCAGCTGGCTGTACTCTTATATTCATTAGCTGCCTTCCCCATCACCTCTACCCTTCCCAGGCTGTGAAAACCCCAATTCTATCCTCCACATTTATACGTACACATAAATACATATATCCTGTGTATGTCTACATGAAAGTGTCTGTAACACAGAGGAGCAGTGCCGAGCAGGCTAATAAGGTGTAATATTACAATGTACGTTTAATGTATACGTTTTAAATGAACTTCTTAAAGGCTTTAGTGTGGAATCAC